TTCTTTTTTTTTTTTAATGATGGGGTTTCACTACGTTGGTCAGGCTGGTCTTGAACTCTCGACCTCAGGTGATCCGCCTGCCTCGGCCTCCCAGAGTGCTGGGATTACAGGTGTGAGCCACCGTGCCCAGCCTCTTTTAACCTCATCACGCTTTTTTCTTCTGTATGCAAAACAAGTCTCTCCATCCTAAAAAGAAACCTGTAGCCCCTGAGGCTGCCTCCAGCTACCTCGGCATTCTTTCTCTCAAATCACAGTCAGTCTTTAATCAGCCAAATCCGCCTCCAATTCACCAGCTGTATTTCATTTTTCTACTCCCAGAAATGGGGTTTCTCTTCTCAGCACGTTCAAAGGTGACCTCATAATTTCCGCATCCCATGGGTGATTATCCAGCTGCATGTTTCTTGCTCTCACCCTGCCATGTGACTCCCTTTATTTTTGAAACCCCTTCTTTTGGCCCCTAAGATGGCGCTATCCTAGTTCTCCTTCTCAGCTCATGTCACCAGGCCGTGAGTACCATGGCAGAGGGCAGAATGGGAAAACCATGAGAAATGGGCAAAGGGCAGCAAAGGATGTGTTCCCAGTTTTGCTGGGGCCTGCACAGTCCATTTCAGGTTTCCTTGCTCATGGTGGCCCCTGGAAAGGCACATGTCCGTCTGCACCAGAGACCTGGGTAGGCAACTCATGAGCATTCTGTCTGCTACCAGCTAAGATCTGAGTCAGGCCAGAGAAAAGGAGGTGGGAGGAGCAAAGGAGGTGGGAGGAGCAAAGGAGGTGGGAGGAGCAAAGGAGGTGGGAGGAGCACAGGAGGTGGGAGGGGCAAAGGAGGTGGGAGGGGCAAAGGAGGTGGGAGGGGCAAAGGAGGTGGGAGGGGCAAAGGAGGTGGGAGGAGCACAGGATGTGGGAGGGGCACAGGAGGTGGGAGGAGCACAGGAGGTGGGAGGAGCACAGGAGGTGGGAGGGGCAAAGGAGGTGGGAGGGGCAAAGGAGGTGGGAGGAGCAAAGGAGGTGGGAGGAGCACATGAGGTGGGAGGAGCACAGGACTTGGGAGGACTGAACAGCAGAGTGGGGCTCACCGGCAGCAGCCTGGCTCTGATCTCCATGTAGAGCACGTTGTCCTCATAGAACTCCTGCATGCTCTGGAAGACATAGTCTCTGAACACTGGTGCGTAACGGATGAGGCCAGAGATGGTGGAGAAGATGGCTTTAAACTTCGACCAGACAGCATTTTGGTTTGTGTAAATCACTTCCGGGTGCGGGGTCACCAGAGTGAAATTCCTCAGCAAGCTGTCCAAGACACAAAGCGGGGAGCGGTGGAGGCTGGTCCAGGACACTGCCCCAGGCACCCGTTGGCCTGCTACCCACCTTGCATCTCCCAGCTAGCAGCACACCAGGATGCACCCTTGAGCAGAGATAAGGAAAGGGCAAAGGGGAGCATTCCCAGGCCCTCTGATATAAGACTGTGTCCTGCGGCCAGGCAGCCCAGTGCTTGCTTAAACCCTAACCTCAACCCCAGGAGACTGCTTGAGAGGAGAGCTCACCAGCTAGGCTCTCCTGGCTCCTGTCCTCCCTCTGCATGCTTGGCCAATCTGACCCCACTGTACTTACATTCTAGACCTAAAAGCTCTCTCTCTCCCTTTCTCTCTCGTTCTTCCTATACCCACTGACGGCAAACTAGACCAAGCTCTTTTTGGGGGATGTTATGGACTAGATTCTGCCCCCAAGCCTCAAATTCAAATGTTGAAGCCCTAGCCCTCTTACGAAGAAGGGAATTTCAAAGAGATGATAAAGATTAAATGAGATTGTAAGGATGGGGCCCTAGTGTAATAGGGATGGGTGTCCTTATAAGAAGAGGAGGCTAGGCACGGTGGCTCATGCCTGTAATCCCAGCACTTTGGGAGGCCAAGATGGGTGGATCATTTGAGGTCAGGGGTTTGAGACCAGCCTGGCCAACATGGTGAAACCCCATCTCTACTAAAATACAAAAAATAGCCGGCCATGGTGGTACATGCCTATAATTACTCGGGAGGCTGAGGCAGGAGAATCACTTGAACCCTGGAAGTAGAGGTTGCAGTGAGCCAAGGTCGCGACACTGCAGGGTGACACAGTGAGACTAGTCTCAAAA